GATTTCGTACAACATATCTTATACGGCTTTGATGCGAACCGGTAAAATCGTTCACGGAGAAGAAGTCTGTCTGGTACAGTTATTTTTATGCGGGAGGGAAGAGAAGAGAAGAGAAGAGATGAGATGAGCCCGATGCTTTAGAGAAAGGTTGTACTCGAGTACTCCTGTACTGTACTCGTTTCATGGATGTGCACGGTCTTTCCTATCTTCTATGGATAGATCTTCTTGTGGCAGATGCATATCGCTATATTAGGATACATGGCGAGGATGATTACCGATTGATAATAATATACAGGCGACCTCGGATACCAAGGTGATCTTTGTTTGTGTTCTACCGAGTCCAAAGTCAAACTTTGAATTCTGGAGATGTCAAAGCCCGATTGGAAGTTTGAAGTTTGTGGCGATGCTGATTCAAGATAGCTATGAAGAAAGGTAAAGTCTTACAAATGGTGGCAATGTCGACGATGACATCAAAACCCAAAGTTAATTCCAAATGTTGATCTTTTGATTTTTTGGTCCTTTTGATTTTTTGGTCCTTTGATCTCTTGATCCCTTGATCTTGTAATGAACGAACGAACATGAAGAAGTGTTAGAAATGAGGCGGTGCGATGTTGGTTTGATGAAGAAATCCACACCAATCGGAGATAGGAAGCCAGAAAAGGAATTTATTCTCCTGCACCTACTCTAAAATTTTGGTCGGTCGAATTCTGATATATGATAGCTTCAAGTTTCATTTAGTAAAGACTGTGACGTGATGTGATGCGATGCGATGACATTGATGTCAAAAACAAAAAAAGAAGCAGAAGCCACAGAATCAAGATGCACTTGATGTTGTATTTGCAATTACATCAAATCAATATATATCGTCACAATTTCTTTTTTGGGTGTTATTGATGATCAGCAGAGGATCAATACGTTGGTGGCAATGAATCGTGATAGATGGTGGTTTTTTTTTTACCCCGCTTCCCTTGTCATGAAGGGGAACGAACGAGCGAACGAGCGAACGAACGAACGAACAGCCTTTTCCCCAAACCAAGAGAATATGATGATCTGATCCCCTCCACATCTTTTCCCCTATGTTAGTCAATTCATGCCTGTCCTCATCATCGTGAATTGGGCTGGGTGCACCGTTAACTCACTTGAAACGTATGATGTCGTCACAGTACTGGATCTTTGATGCTGTGATGAAGCTCGATTACTTTGAATATCACGATCCTGTTGTGTGTTGTGTGTAGATGATTGATGGATGGGTGATGGATGATTGATGGATGATTGATGGATGGGTGATGGATGATTGATGATTTCAAGATGGATGGATAGATCGTTGATCATTCAGCCATGATTGGTTATCTGATAACCGGTCCTGTGGCCATACTCTGTAGAAATAAAAACAACTCATCTCAAGCATGGCATGGTATGGAATGGTATGGTATGGAACGGTACTTGAATGGCATGGCTTAATCCATAACCCATAACCCATAACCCATAACCCATAACCCATAACCCATAATCACCTACCCATTACATTCATGCCATCCATCCATTTATCACTGCTGTACGAGGCAAGGTTAAAAAGTGGTACAAATAGTTCCTCCCTCCGTATGGTTATGGTTTCGGTTCCGGTCCGGTTCATCAAGTTAGTTCATCAAGTTAAACCATCATCACCACATCATCACATCATCACATCATCATATCATCGTGATATATCTATCTATCTGCAGCTGTACAGCGTAATGCACACCCACCGATGACCCTATATCACTGGCCTCATAATTCATGTGTTCTCCCAGATGAGCCTATTTTGGGTTGCTTGCCCCTGATGGTACCACGACAGTTGCCTGTCAGCTTTAAATACATGGACACCTGCATAACCTTTTTATCTGCGCAGGTAAGGTTGTACACGGCAATCTGCTTCTCATGGCTTGGTTCATGAATGAGTTAAACTTGGGTAGCTGTACTGTAGCTTTGTGATCTCCGTCCTGTAAGGAAGAAGGAAGGAAGGAAGGTGATGGATGGATGGTAATTCAAAATACAAGGAATGGTTTCAGTTTCCAATCTTTTTCTTGGGTGAGTAGGTACTTGGTACTTGGTACTTGGTACTAACGTGTAACTTCTAACTTCTAACTCCTACCTTGATCAGGGCTCATGGCATAAAGTGATGAATGAAAATGTTTCCATGATCATCAAGCAAAGACTCTGGTCCTGCTCGAATCTAGATCTCTGTCTTTTGACGTGAAGAAAGAATACCGGTAATTTGAATAAGAAAGGTCATTGAATGATTATGACCATGACCGTAGTCATAGTCATAGTCATAGTCATAGTCATTCTCATAATCATAATCATTCTCATAATCCATAATCACAATACCTTCAAAAACTTAGACTTTCTCGTAAGTTTTTATACAGTCGAATGATTGTGGTGGCTTTTGACGACACTACTCTAACAATGCCACCATGAATCCATGAATCCATGAATCCATAATGGACCCAGGGCCAGGGTCGATGGTCCACCAAGTCTCGATAGGAAAATGGAGTGATGTCAAGTCTAAAATGGGAATTATGGAATTATAGAAATATGGAGTGTGCTTTGAAGCTTTTTGAAGACCCAAGACTGGTGGACCAGGGACCAGGGCAGGGCAGTTAAGAGGGGAATCTCGGAAAATAAGGTCACGAGGCCAACGTTTAAATACGCTAATACTTTTTCAACCATGGTTGGCTTGTTAGTAGCTGATAGTGGGGGCCGGGGGTATTGATAATTGAATTTGAATGGACTACGGAGTGGTGGTGGAGTGAGGAAATGGGGAAAAGCGAGGACACAAAGCAAACGACAGGAAGGAAGCCTTTGATGATGGGGGATGGGGATGGGGATGGGAGAGAAAGGGGAAGCGGTACGGTGTTGATGTATGTGGTTGGTTGGTTGGTTGGTTGATGTATTTGTGTGTGTGTGTACGTGGTGGTGTGTGGTGTGCGTGTATATTGAACATCTGATGAACCTTTACTTTAATCTTCACAATTGATATGTTCCTGACTTTGAGTAACCCATGGTGACCTAGCTATCGATATTTTATATATTCATTACCACCGCTTTTTGACATGATATTCTTCAATCCAATCCAATCCAACTCAATCCAATCCAATCCAACTCAATCCAATTCACCCAATGCAATCTTTTGCAAATTCCCAGTAAAGCAAGCAGAACCAAATATATCTATGGCGTGGGTGGCTGGGAACCTTCCATGTATCGATGAAAATGAAAATGAAAATAACCTATTACAAATGCGCTCGCGGGCTGTATTGTATCCAATTACTCTAATAACACCTCTCGTATCAAGAAATTCCTTTCGTCCCGGTGATTATACTCCTTTGGAGAGTTTTCCTCGACCCGTGACCGATAAAAGTATAAAACGGGTCCCACATCGGAGGGAGGGGGTTGCGTTGGTGGTTTGTTGGCTTCCTTCACCCACCTAGGCATCTAACTCCTCTCGGTTCGGGAAGGAAAACGCAAGAAATAGACTAGGTTCAACGGGAAACCCTGGATTTATTAGACATTACCATATTGGCGGTATCTACTTTTCATTGGGTCTCGGGATGAAAATTTGAATGGAAATGTTTGCGTTTACCATATTGATGCCATGAGCGACACGAGTCTTGACAAAACGTCGGGTTAAGGGTGTGTCCAGTTGGTGTGTACGGAGTATGGAAGTAACAGTAATCAGCAAGGTAACCTTTATGTTTCCAAGTACGGAATATATGGCCGGGTGGCTGGTGATTGATGTTTGGTGGTTAGTAATGGAGTAATGGTGCAGTGGCGACTTTGAAGGATACTCAAAGTTGGAACTGTTAGAAGCTAATGAATGTATGTACAGAGGATGTCTTTGCTATTTTGATGTTGATGAAGCCATTGAAAGACAAACGAGTAAGCCACCAACAAGCAACAAGCAACAAGCAACAAGCAACAAGCCAATCCTTCTTCTACAGGAAGAAAAGACAGTAGCGATCTCGAGGTACAAACACTAATGATGAGACAAGCCCAGCTACCAGTTATGTTATGTATGCCTCGAAAAGTCGAAAGGCTTCTTTGATATCTTGGCTAAGCCAGAGACCGGGTTGACAGTACTTGGTGACTTGACTTGATGGGGACAAACCAAAATCAATTCATGATTCGTGGTGTCGGATATCAGTCCTACCTGACCATCTATCTATGAATTAGTCGTACATGCAGCTTCATTCTTTATTTTCCGTATCCATAATCCATAGGTAGGTACCGAGTACTGTCAACTGGTGGTACAACGTTCTTTCAAATGAAGAGATTTGAAGCCAATCCTGACCGGAATCTCTGTAACGTGGTCCGTGCATTGTGCTCTGGTGTGCTCCAAGAATGACCATATGCATCCCAGATCATTCCACCCGACTGGCGAAGGAGATTTTGATGGTAGAACAAAAGTCACCATTTTTAGCTGAATTACATCGCATCAGATACAGTAGGGCGACGACGAGATAAAATAGATTGACCTGTCCTTCATATCACGAAATATTCGAGCATCCAGCATCCAGCATCCAGCATCGAGCATCGAGCATCGAGCCTTCTTTCTATCAAGGGATGTCCTTGGCTTGTTTTTCCGGAAATGGGAGCTCACGAGGTAAAGCTTAAGAGATGTTGCTATTTCGTCTCACCAGCACTAGTGACCAGAAGAGTTGATGGACTCGAAAAGAATGCAAAGTACCCGTCATTTTGCGCCAAGAACCGGGTACCCATATTGACTACAACATTCAGATGAGGCAGTGTAGTGTATTGTCTGTACGGGTGTAACTCGTACCGTTAATATATCAATACGGCAGGTTGCCGGCCGCGGAGAGACACAAGAATACCCTGAGATATCATTCCAATGAAGTGAGATTATGGGAATCGACACATTCCCATATAGTATCGTGGCCATGAGGCCTCTTTTGGATACTTGAATCAAATCACCATGGGTAGTTACTTATAAGTTATTATTGGTGTGATGTGAACATCCTTAATGTCTTCAACAAAACCCCTTTGAGATTCTAGGAGAACAAGGTCATGACGAGTATCACACATTCATTCTATTCTATTCTATTCTATGATTGCCTTTACACTCACTTGCACGGCAAAGGAACGGAGGGAGCGAGATATGATTCTCATGTTCTGCTACATCATTATGCTGTACCTCATCTCTCTACCCACTGGATGGGACTTGCTATCTTTCTTTATATATGTGCTCCCATGATATCTCAATGCAGCATGTACTCAAAGAGGTAATCAGCTTCAGCTCCTTTTTTCACAAGTTTCGCCATGACCAATGGAAGGAACGAGATGATATATATCTAGGGCGATCTTTATTCACTTAACTCCGTACGAGTATCGCGAGACGCTTATGCAATTGGGACTGTTTTGGGTGTGTCACGAGTTCTTTTGATGGTATTATTGTTTATTGTTTATTGTTTATTGTTTATTATTTATTTATTTATTAATTATTTCAATTGTGCATGAAGATGCAAGATCTAGTATGAATAATCAACATCTGCCTAGGTACGCTTACCACATACAGATAGGTAGGTTTATGAGATTTATTATTTTTATTATCTGTCACTATCCCTACTACTTTCTTTCAGTGAAGTGAAATCTGAAAATGATTTACTAAAAGATGCTCAGACTTTAAAGTGGCGCGTGCTGGGGGCATCAGAATTGATCCCATGATCCTTTTTTTAACCCAATCCATTCTTGGACATTTGGTACCTTTTTGAGGCTTTTACTTGTATGGACATTGGACATTGGACATTGGACATTGGACTGGAAAGGTTGACCTGATCATGTGTTTGTGACTTTTGTTCGCATTCTATCCCAACTCATCTTCTCTTCTTTACAGTAGACAAAGAGAGAGATATATGTATTCGGTCAGTCAGATTGATTGAAAGGTACTGAAATATCCTCAGTACCAGGTTGGAGGAATATGGGTTGATTGATTTCGTATCACCTCATCTTCCCTACCTGATGAGATATTTTCAAGGACGTTTATTTTGTATTATTTACTATAAGTCCGTAGCTCGAAATTTAAATAAACATCTAATTCAAGTGGCAGGAACTTGACCAATTAAATTAACTCCTGCTTCCCAAGTTGTACCTAACCTACGCCCAGTTCCGTGGAGATAGAAATATAGAAATATCTAAATATCTACATATCTACATATCTACATATCTACACATCTACATATCTACACATCTACACATCTACATATCTACACACCTACACATCTACATAGGTATCTACCTATCTACCACCTTGGTCCTTGGTCCTTGGTACCTACATCAATATCAATCAACAAGTACCTACGTACGAACCTGAAAGAAAGGGGATTCCCGCATCGCATTGTCACTAAAACTCCTCGGTGATGGAAGGAAGGCAAATATCAATCCAGCATTGCCCCCCTTGGAATACTAAAATTATAAACCATATCATATCATACCATGACATGACATCAATTATGTTGAAAGGATTAATAATAATCCAATCCAAGCTCGTGAGTAAAATACCAAGAGATCAAATAAATACCAGATTAGGGAAAATCTAAGTGTTTATTTTTTTTCTTTCTTTGTTCTTGATTGTTGTGTGTGCGTGTGTTGTATTCGATTTCATGTCTTGGGTTCACAAGTCTCTTTGCGAATGTACTTACTCTGCTCTGTACGGAATATTCGGCTTCCCGTGGTTAGTAGACTTGATTTGGATGTACTGATTGTATATGTGTGTACTGAATGTATGTATGTGTACTGAATGTATGTGTGTCTATGTGTTATATGTGTGTACTTGTATGACTATTTACTAAAATACCACGAGCTGGAATGAATATCTCCTATCAATATCTAGGTATTTGATACAATAATTTCCATATAAAACGCATATCAGATAATAAAGTCCTCAAGCCCCTTGTATTCTTCCCACAACATCCATCAATCATTCATCAAATCAAGGTCTTTTCAGAGACTGAAGAGAAGATACTCCCAAGCAAAAATACTACTTGATTGATGCCCCCAGGATCTCGAACCCCTCGTTATCTGTTCCGCATTGAGCTGGACATTTATCATCACCCACAGAACGCATTCAATCTACGGATTTCTTCTGGAGCTTCGGAGTTTGATTCTTGAAGATACAATATCAAGCGTATTTATTGATGTAGCAATACAGATAGATTATCTACATCAAATTCGCTGCTCAACGAATCGACTACACTATCTACTCGACAGCTAATCTAATACATACCTTTAATAACCATCCTTGGTTTCTGTACCTGTAAGTTACCTCATCATTTCTTTACCCAGCATTCTCCCTCCTCCACGAGTCCTATAGAAGTAATCATCCCCTTGTCCTCCTGCCTTTTCCCCTGTATGAACCGGCTACAAGTGCAGGAAGTGAAAAAAAAGACGACAAAAAGGAAACCTTCCCACTCACAACGCAACGTCAATTCAAGCACGCTAATTCTGACACTAATTAATTAAGCGATAGCATAGCATACTCCGTACACTTACACCTACATACCCGCTTTTTTATTCCTGGTGGTGGCCCCTCATAATCTCTCGCTGCTGCCAACCCATTGCATGGACTAAAGCAAAGCATCCACTATCGACTTGTTGATCTCAGAGGGAAAGAAGATCATTCGTCAAGACCCCTCCTACTCCATAATCCAAACCTAATAAACACCTGCACATTCCAAAAAAGAAATACCCACTGGACGACTACAATCATCAAATAAACACTGGGCTTTGTATTGTAGCTACAGCTTCCATCCACAGTACAGTCAGTATTCAATTCGTACCTACCAAAAGATAGAGAAGAGGAAGTACGGAATAGACAGAAATTGGAGAAGAGAGACAGAAAATAAGGAACTTTGAAGCTCCTCTTCCCACTTCCTCGTCCCATTCAAGCGAGATATATCAAAAACTTTCACACTTTGATTCTCTATCCAATTATATTATCGATAGGAAGGGTCGGTCATATTGTCAGTTATTGACCTCGAAATTCCCTGTCCTCAGTCTAAATCTCCTTCAACATACTACCAACCAAACACCCAATTCTACGTCTACCTACCCATACCTACACCTCACCTTCTCTGACCTTCATTGGAACCTCATTCTCAGATTGTGAAGAAGAATATCACACCGTCTACTCTTCCCAGCTACCATCTCTCGACTCCTTTACCCATCACCACTTGCAATCCACAATAAGTTTCATAATTCTTCCAACCAATCCAATTCCAGCTATTTGAAGTTATATCCAAACGGCACCTGTTACTCTACGCCCAGAGCAATAAGATCGACCCACGACCCAAAAATAACCACGGTTCGACTGCTAAAATCCCCCCAAAACGGAAGATCGAATTTGTAGCTTGTGCCTTGAATACAGTATCTTGTTGTGCCATTGATTGATTATTTGGATGACCGGAACAGCCTTCTCGACTCTCTAGCCTTCTTTTGCTTATTCCTTCTAAATTACGATCTACCAGCCTTATTACCTCACTACCTTCCCTTGGGATTTTAAGGATCGGATTAGATCAAACCCTTTTCCATTTCCGAGTTGCATTATTGATATCTTTTTTTTTTTTTTTTTTCAAATAAAACATCCATTCAACGTTTCAACGTTTTCCATCTTTGGGCCACTAGCCTAGCTACCGAATAAGAATCATTCTCCCCATCTTCAGATTTCTTCAGTCACTGGTCACTGCGCGGAGTTACGCACTAATGGTATAATCGACTACGGTACGGTACGGGTACGGTTACGGTTATTGGTAATAAAATCCAAAAGGCAAAGTCTTTACGCACAAACACTTTTGATTAGAGAACGAAGAGCGAGGAACGAAGAACGACGAACGAAGAACGACGAACGACGAACGAAGAACGGAGAACGACTATTACGAAATTGGGGAATTGGGACACTACGCCTGAAGGAATCATTTTGGCACACCAAGTGACCATTGACCACCACAAAAAGCACCAACGGGGACAAAAGTCCAATTCTGACGAATCAACATCCACGAAATTGACCACCCTAGTCGACCATATTAGATGTCCAAAAAATTCGAGCGCGTGAGCATACGGTAGTCAGTTAATTCGGAGCCAAGGAACTCTCAACTCAATAGCTACCAATAATAATCTAATACCTTTTGACCTTTTGAACGAACCAAGCAGAGAGCAGAAAGCAGAAAGCAGAAAGCAGGAAGCAGGAAGCAGGAAGCAGAAGAGAGAGAAGACAGAATCTGAACTTTGCACCCACCTGCACTGAACTTGAACCTGAAGAATCCCAAGTTATTTCGAATTTATTATTTTCCAAATTGGTTACCTAACAAAACTAAACTATCCTCTACTTACTATCCGATCCTACACTCATTCAACTCCCTCGACTCACATCCACCATCAGTACGCACTCAACTCGACGGAACGGAACCTTACTACTGCTGCGTACACTTTCGTTCGACTCCGGTGTCTTTTGATCAATCAAGAAATTCATCCATCCATCCACCTACATACAAACATACAAACATACAAACACACACATACATACATACATACATACATTACATAACTCCCTACCTATCTAGCACACCTCTTCCTTTTTTCTACCTACACATTACACATTACACATTACACCCTACACACGATACCTTACAACGTACTCTCCAAGTTACCACACACCTTTTCGACGCACTACGCACCTGCACTACTTTAGTTACTTTTACTTTACTTTACTTTACTTTACCTTACTTTACCTTACTTTACCTTACCTTACCTTACCTTACTTTACCTTGCCTTACTTTACCTTACCTGACCTTGACTTTATTACCTTGACTTAACCTTGTCTTGACTTTACTTACTTCATTCATTCTCCCCTCTCCTAAATTCTTTGGCTCCGAATCCATCCAGATAAGTCAGCCATCCCACCATCCCACCATCCCACCATACACCCACCCACCACTACAACATCCCATTTCATCCCTCGACAAATAACAAATCATCAAATCCATACATCTACATACTATCCACTCCAGGAACACTTACTCCATTTTACCTGATCACCTTACCTGTCTGGATTGAGAAAAGGAAAGAAAACCAAACAACAAAACAACAAAACATCAAAACATCAAAACATCAAAACAAAATCAAACCACAATCAGAACCACCACCACCACCTCGACCACAACCACCACCACAACTACAACTCCAACCGTCATTCAAAATTCATTTGTTATTCATTCGAATAAATTCCAACCTTCGAGTTTCAAAGTCATCTGCGAGATCATCAAGACATTACCTATCCTGAATAATAATAAATACGGTACGCCTTGACCAACTCTTTTTGGGGGGGGGCTTGTTCACTCATTCATTCATTCATTCATTCATTCATATTCATTTTCATATCCATTCATATTCATATTCACACGCACAAGCACACGCACCCGCACACACACACACATACACACATTACATTACATATTACATACATCCATACATACACATATAATAAATACACTCACCACATACCCCATCCCACCGCCTTTCACCAACCCCTCTCAACCATTAACCCATTAAACCATTAAAGGGTCACAACCACTAACTCTTAATTTCTCATCCATCAGCCGCAGCCGCATTTCTCACTTGGGTCATTAATCCCGACATAGCATTTTCGAAAAGAACACAGAAAAAGGGAAAAGAGGGTGAATAATTCTTCGACCGAACCCCAGATTGTCACGTTGATTCAAGAAAAAAGATTCACTTAATAATCACCGATTGATTTGCCTTGGTCGCACATTCGGTCCTCAATTGCCCAACACGGACTTTACCAGGTCATCAACCAGTCTCCTCACAACCCTCCTCGTTTACAGCCCACCTCATTCACGATAATAATCAGTGTTTTGGACTTTCAAAGATGTCACAAAATCGGCCTGCTGCCTTCTCGAGCTTGAGAATGGGAGGTAAGAAACATACTCCTGCCTATGGTTTTTTGCCCCTTTACCTCATCGTCACCTTCTTGGTCTCGACTTTACTCTAACGTTTGTGATTTTACAGAGGTAATCCGCGAAAAGGTCCAAGATGGCATCACCGGCGAAACTCGAGATATGCAATATACACAATGCAAGATCGTGGGAAATGGTTCCTTTGGTGTGGTCTTTCAGACCAAGTTGTCACCTTCTGGAGAAGATGCTGCCATCAAACGCGTCTTGCAAGACAAGAGGTTCAAGGTTCGCGACATCATTTCGAGTCCATCATTATGCCGTACTGATGTAAATATAGAATCGTGAATTGCAAATCATGCGCATCGTGCGTCATCCCAACATTGTCGAATTAAAGGCTTTCTATTATTCAAACGGCGAACGAGTGAGTCTTCTCCCTTGCTACATGAAGCTATCGTGCATGTCTAATGTCATCCTTGGTAGAAGGATGAGGTATATCTTAATCTAGTGCAGGAGTTCGTCCCTGAGACGGTTTACCGCGCATCGAGATATTTCAACAAGATGAAGACAACGATGCCGATCATCGAAGTGAAGCTCTACATCTATCAACTCTTCCGCGCTCTCGCCTACATCCACTCACAAGGAATCTGCCATCGTGATATCAAGCCACAAAATTTACTGCTTGACCCGGGCAGTGGAATTTTGAAGTTGTGTGATTTTGGTAGTGCAAAGATACTCGTAGAGAATGAGCCAAACGTTTCATACATTTGCTCACGTTATTACAGAGCACCAGAATTGATTTTCGGTGCTACCAACTACACAACCAAGATTGGTGAGAATACGTGGACCATGTGCGTGTGAGGAAATGATGCTGACGGTGAAAATAGATGTTTGGTCAACTGGTTGCGTGATGGCAGAATTGATGCTTGGGCAACCTCTCTTCCCGGGTGAATCTGGTATTGATCAACTGGTCGAGATCATCAAGGTTCTCGGTACACCAACTCGAGACCAAATTCGTACCATGAACCCCAACTATATGGAGCACAAGTTCCCACAAATCAAGCCACACCCATTCAACAAGGTCTTCCGTAAGGCCGACGCTAGTGCCATCGAACTTATCTCCAAGCTACTAGAGTACACTCCTACCGAGAGGCTTTCAGCTATCGAAGCGATGGTTCACCCGTTCTTTGATGAGTTACGTGAACCCGATAAGACATTCCCAGATTCCCGTCACCCCGGTAATTCAGCAAAGAACTTGCCAACCTTGTTCGATTTCTCCATCCATGGTAAGTTCCGAGTGGTATGTGCGGAGTGTTTACGGTATTGACTTGTAAACAGAATTATCCATTGCGCCGGAACACAACCAACGGCTGGTACCGCAATATATTCGACCAAGTTTGGTAGCAAGGGATAGCAAACTCGATATTGATAGTCCAAATTTCAAACCATTGACGAAGGATGCGATGATGGCAAGATTAGATTGAGGAGGAGGTTCAAGCAAAATGACTGATGAATGAATCCTTTCCTGTCACTCGACATATGCGCTCTGCAACGGAGTCGAGATTTTTCGAGCGATACAAAACACCCCGGCTATAACCACCCCTCAGCATATTAAAGGTTCTGCATATCTCGTCTGCAACGTTGGCAGGCCAAAATCAAGTTTGTGGAAGTCCGGGCGAATGCATGGCAGGAATACGAAGTTAGTCTATGATGATGGTATGCGTTATTTGGTTTGATAGGAATACCCATAAGGTGGAATTTTCGTTGAGCACGAGTTTTAAGTTCAGCTAAGGAAATGCTACCTTGGTACTCGAAACAGCGGTCATTGGGAAAAAGGGCAGATGGAATATGATGGATATTGGTTCATGAAAAGGGGTATGAAATGTGGAAGTGGGTGGTAGTTTATGGGGAATTCAACGAATACTTCTATCGGCACCTCGTTACTAGACTTTCTTGCATGAGGAGAAAAAAATTATGGCCTTTTTGCTCTCTGTCTAATGTTTTTTTTTGGGAGTTTTTTTCCAAAGTTCAAAGTGTTCCCAAGTTTTTGTGTTGTGTGTGTGTGTGTGTGTGCGTGTGTGTCTCTCTTGTGATGGAGAGATTGATGGATGGTTGGACCTCATTTAATTTAAAACATTTTCGACTATTTCTTCTTTTCTTCCTCCCTTTTTCTTCTTTTCGACAACTTACTCGTTACTTTGACTTTGATATTTTAGTACTCCAGCAACAAGAAAGAAAGAAAGCCAGCCAGCAAGCAAGCAAGATTCAGGCGTATGATAATATTTTTGTTATTATAAATTTCAATCGAGGATGCATGCATGCATATATTGATGAGATATGGAAAGGGACTAATGTGTTAGAACTGGGTTATGATGAGTAGGTTGTAGGGGTATTGATTGTAGGGGTATGTATGGTTGGGAGGGCATAAGGGGTATTAGGTAGGTTTACCTGGGTTTACCTGGGTTTACTTGGGTTTATTTGGGTTTGCTTGGGTTTGTTTTTAATTGAAATATTATTTGGAGATGGATATAATTTGATGAGACGAGGGGCAGTTGGGGGAAGGGGGGTTGATTTGATTTGATGATAGGTGGGGATAGGGATAGGGATAGGGAAATGAGGGGTAGTATAGAGAGATGGAGATGAAGAGGAGAGGAGTTTAAAGAGCAGAATTTATATTTAATTTTATATTTAGTTTTGATTTTAGTTTTGATTTAATTTAATATATAATCTTATATATAAATATTTATTATAGATAATTAAATAAATACTTATATATTTATTTAATTTTTAATAAATAAAAGTCCTTTTTTTAATTTGTTTTTATATAATTCTTTTTAAATGTAAATATAATAAATTACAAATATTTTTATTTAAATATTTAAAATATAACTTGTAAATAAAATATTATAATTATTATAATAAAGTAAAAATTTTTAATTTTCTATTATCAAAAACAGGCTGATATTCTATCTACACTTTGATATATATTCAATATTTAAATTTATTTTAAACTTTTCAAAACTTAAATTTTTATTAGACTTTCTTGAAAAGTCAGCGGTCCGGGGGGCGCAGGCCCTTGGTATATTATTTATAAAGAAAATGAGGTTTATAATAATTTAAGAATTAAAGTTATATTAAGTTCAAATATATATATAAAAGATTATATGATTGATTAGTTAAAAACCCTTATGTATTTGACTTATAATTCCAACTTTCTCACAATATAGATTTGGTTTAATATATAGAGCTTTTCGGAGGAGGATGAAAGGATTATTGTCTTTTTGTGAATTTGAAGTTTGAAGTTTGAAGGTTGAAGTTTGAAATTTGAAGTTTGAAATTCGAAGGTTGGTGGTGGTAAAGGTAAAGGATAGAAATTTTGATGATTCTGAAATAGGGATGGATGTTGTTGGCGAGAGAGTTGGGAAGCGGTGGAGAGTAGGAATTGAGGAGGGATGAGTTGCGAGTTATAGGAAATGAGCTCTCAGAGATGAGCTGTCTGTGAGGGGTTAGAATATCAAGGAGAGCGATGAGAGGTGTTTGAGTAGCGAGGGTTAAAAGGGAAGGTGCAGCTATAGATGTTTGTAACTGGTAGAATTCTATGGATTGACTTTTGGTTTCAACCAAGAACCATTCCCCTTTGATTATACAACTTCTATGTATAGCTCTGATCACACAGTCTAAAGCAGAGAGTACAGTCCCTTCAATTAAGTAAATCCAAGTGTATCAATATCCAAATCCACCCCCTGATTAAACGATGATTTATACAATTAGCTATTTCATTACACATTCGTGCTTGTTCATTCATACTTTAAATGTTCGATAGGACTAAAATATCTCTATAATATAAAATGTATGATTATAAACTTATAGATACAATACCTATCAAATGAAAGAAAACAACGTCGTCCCATCTAAAATCTGACATACCAGAATGTGATCCGAGATTATGGAGGGGTACACATGATGATTATGTAAGTGTCGTACTCCGTCATTGTTGTTGATGCCTGAATTAATGCCTCACCACGATTAGAAGCTCTTTCAAGAAAAAGTTCAGTCGCATCAACCTCGAAAGTATTTTTGATCTTCATCTTGAAGGCTCACAATCAACCACCACCAATTCCTTCCGATCCGACATTCTTTCTCTAGCATACATTGATACCCTTCTATTCTCTCAGTGTTATCTTTTTATAGAAAACAATGTCGTCTTTTGCGCTAGAGAAGGAATCGCCTTTGGGCTTCCTTTACAATAATGCTGTCGCTGAGGCTTTGTCAAATTCATACAACACTTTCCAAGAGAAGAGGGAAGCGCTGGGTCTTTCAAACCCCGGAACAGTTGAGAATATTGCTAGAGAGGTTCAACGCGATGTTTTTCTCAACAATTATACATTCTCTGGTCTGAGGGCGGATCTCACTAAGCCTTTCAGCATGGCTCCATTATTCCAAGTCTCTCATGCATTCTCTATGGGATCTCAAGGTTTACCACCATATACATTTGGTGCTTTATTCGGCACAAACAAGGTCAGTAATTGTTTGTGAAAATGTTCTCACCATTTTATACGAGGCTCCCACTGTCAATTTTTAGAAAACAAGCTGACATTGCAATTGGCAGATCTTTATGCAAGGAAATATGGACAATGAAGGTCAACTCACCACTCGATTCAATTACAGATGGACTCCAGCTTTTGTTACCAAGACTCAACTTCAAGTCGCCCCTGGTCAAGCTATGATGCAGTTAGACAACGAATATACTGGAAAAGATTTTACAGCTTCAATCAAATCTCTCAACCCTTCAATACTTGACGGAGGATTCACAGGTATCTTTATTGGTCAATACTTACAAGCTGTTACTCCAAATCTCGCTTTGGGTTTGGAGGCTGTCTGGCAACGAGCGGCAATGAACCAAGGTCCCGAAACTGCAGTCTCATACTGTGCCAAATACAAGGGTAGTGATTGGATCGCCAGTGCTCAATTACAAGCGCAAGGAGCCGTAAACACATCCTTCTGGAGAAGATTGACAGATAAGGTCGAAGCTGGCGTGGATCTTAACTTACAGTTCGCCGGGTTGTCTGGAGCTGGTATGATGGGAGGACCTATTAGAAAAGAGGGTGTCACAACTGTTGGTGCCAAGTATGACTTCCGAATGTCTACTTTCAGAGCTCAAGTTGATTCAACCGGAAAGTTGAGCTGCTTATTAGAGAAGAGAGTTGCACCACCTGTTCAACTTACCTTTGCCGCTGAGATGGATCATTTCAAGGTATGTAATTTTCACCTCAGATCTGAATGTTCACTGATAATTGCTATAGCAAGCAGCAAAGATTGGAGTAGCAGTTTCCATCGAATCTGGCGACGAAGCCGTCGAAGAACAAGCAATGGCAGCTGGAGGTGCTCCACCTCAAATCCCATTTTAAACATATACGACTCGATACAATGCTTCTCAAAGCGCATCCTCCACTCCGAAAACTAATGGAATTTAATGCCAACTTAAAACCTTTCACGAGCGAACATGTACACCGACTAGCCACCTACTTCATTTACATAACAGACTCATTTCTGCTATGCCAAACCTACACGAAAAGCCTCTTCATTTTCTTTCGAGATGTCTACAACGATGAACCTCGTTTCTTTACCAATAGCGAAAAGAGGTACAGCTCTGCATACATTTCCAAACCAAACGATGATCCAATATTTTTTTTCTTTCTTCTATCATATCCTAGAATTTCTTTATACCTCATGTTCTCGGGGACTCTGCGTTGTTGGAGCAGCATATCTGAAATTTGGTCGGAATGGAAAGCATTGTGAGTGCTTTTGTTTAAGATAGCGGATAGGATCGATACAAAATCTGGGCATGGATGATGCATGAGATATCATGAGGAAGATGTTATATGAGGATAGGTGCTTCTGTATTATAGTGATGCGATTTTGTAGCGACGACGATGGGGATGGAGGCATGACAATATTGTCAATGTAGATATGTAGCTGTGTATAAAAAGACAGGATACGAATGAATGTCTCATAAAGTCCGAAGATGTTGTAATATAAATTCATATAACTAAAGTGAGACATCAATACTTTTTTATATTAAGGCATTTGATACATCCAATCCAGGCACTGATAAATTGAAACCCCGCTTCATCCCGGGCATTCAAGCAAGTTGAATTTTTTTCGGAAACAAAGACGTATGATTGGTCAAATTCGACGCATTGATTACCACCAACTTATCTCATAATCTTATTATTAGCTAAACCTAATGTTCTCAACTAAGCAACATTCTTGAACCGCATTTTCGACCTCAACCTCTTGAAAACTTATACACCACTGACAATCGATTTTGAAGGACTTTGGGAGTTGTTGGGCCAGAAGATAAAGAAGTTAAGAGTTGATCATCGAGAAGATTGCTCGACCGTACTTGAAACTATCAAGCGCCGAGAAGTTTTGGAGGAGTATATTTAAGAGAGCTGGTGCAGTAAGTAACAGAGGCTTTCGAAACGAAACGAAAAGAAAATATTGAAATAAAGCTTTGCTTCATTACTTCTGAAAATACACGAACGATTATACGATTATACGATTATACCGCCGGTTCATCTTTCTTCTTGGTGAAGGAGAGAGCTTTAAGGGTGCATTGGTTAGAGAAAGATACCTCATCCCACGATAGACGGGATTACATTTTGAAAGTCACGGGATTTTCAAAGAGAGAGTGAGGCAGGAGTAATCAGAAAAAGGCAAGAAAGGAGAAGTCACAAGTTACAGTGAGATAAATTGCATCCAGATCATTGTCAATTTTTGGGATAATCAATTTTGCTGGTTAACACCAATCATAACAGATTCTGAGTGAAGAATTACTTTTCAGAACAACCTTAGCAAGAAATCAAGAAAGATGGATACTTTATTGTGAGTGGTTATGATTCTTTGGTTATTCACTTTACCCCCTCGTTTAAGTTCGAGGCAACCTTGTGATTATTTTGGTGCACTGTACCTCTTTCCTTTTTCTGCTTTGCACTTTCTTCCAGCAATAATTAAAAATTGCAATGCATTCCTCCTCCTCTCAATCGCAGCCATCACCACCATTTTCCCCTAGGCGCTCTCCTAGCACTCTCATGATGGAACTCGACCGTATCGATACTTTTTTTGCTGAGACTGACCAAGAGCTTAGAACCGCGGAAATCGCTGCCAATTCTCCTCGCTTTCGTCGGAGGTCTTCAACCTTCATTGATGGAGTTCATGATTTGCCAGATGAGAAGGCCACTTTGGCTCCGGCTCAATTGTATTCCACCGAGTCGGGTAGGCTTTTTCATTCTGGAAGAATCGCTATTGTTTTAGTTGGACTCCCTGCGCGTGGAAAGACGTGAGTTATCCTTCCAACTCAAGGTGTTAAATTTACTCGTAATAATTGATTGCTCTTGCCCAGACATATCTCCGTTTCACTCTCGCGTTATTTACAATGGTAAGTTCGATTTGTGATCCAAAATGTCTTCTTTGCTAATTGTTTTAGGTTGGGTGTTAAGACAAGAATTTTCCATCTGGGAGATTATCGACGTGCTACCATGGGTCCAGGTCAAGATGTTCCTGATGACTACTTCTTCATTAATGCATCTGCCGCTTCAGTTATGCTCAGACAGAAGATTCTTAAGAAGTGTCGTGAGGATATTTATGCCTGGCTCAATCATGAAAATGGCCAAGTTGCTATCTATGATGCCGTCAACCCTCTTTCGGGTGGACGTAGATCTCTTGCAAAAGAGTTTGCCAAGCATGATGTACAGGTATGTGGTGTATAACAACAATATGATTACCTGATGAACAGTGGTTAATTTTATTTTAGACTTTATTCCTTGAATCGTATGTTACAGATGAGAAGATACTTCAAGAAAATGCAAGAAGTGTCAAAATATCATCTCCAGATGTAAACCTCCCTTCAGAGCGTTGGAAATATCAGGATGATGCTAAGATATCACAATCGCAGTTCGTTGGAATGGATCCTGAAGATGCTGCCAAACTTTATCTCAAAAGAATTGATATGAAAATTCCCCACTTTGAAACTATGACTGAAACTGACCTCAATTATGTTAAAATGATCAACGCTGGCGAGCGCATCGATTATAACAACGTTAGCTTTGGCTACCTATCTCATCGAATCGTCTTCTACCTTATGAACCTCCATATAAAATCTCGCCAAACATTCTTCGCTCGCGCCGGTACATCTAGCTTAGATGATTCCTACAAAGCCGATGCATCACTTTCAGATGAAGGTCGAGCATACGCTCAGAAGATGTCAGATACATTACTCAAACACCGTGAAGAAGAAAGAGCAGCTTCCATTGCGGCAGGTGGCTCAGATGAACCACTTAAACCATTAAGTGTTTGGACATCTACCAGAAAGAGAACAGTTGAAACAGCGGAGTATCTTAAAGGAAAAGGATTTAGAGTTAGACAGAGAAGTCAAATGAGTCAGTTAAATCCGGGTATATGTGAGAAGATGAGTGAGAGAGCTCTGAGAAGATTGTACCCAGAAGAGGTGCAGATGCATGAGTTGGATCCTTATCATCATAGGTATCCTCGTGCTGAGGTATGTTTTTCCCTTTCAATGTTTTGTTTCCCTCGCCCTTGTATCAATGGTCCCTGAGTATATAGATACTGATCAAATAATAGTCATATCATGATCTCGCCGTCCGCATGGAACCAATTATTCTTGAGCTCGAGAGAGAACAAAATGATCTTTTAATTATTGCTCATGAATCTGTTTTGAGGGTTCTTTATGGATATTTAATGGCTTGTGATGCTATGAATATTCCTACGCTTAAGTTTCCTAGAAATGAAATTATCGAGGTATGTATTGTTTCCTTTTTCCTCAACTCAATTTAACTCTCTCCTTCATCCCTACATCCTTCAAACATTCCCTAGTCCGTCATCCAATAATAAGCACATCCTAACACTTTCGACTCATAGATAATTCCAGCCTCCTACCAAAACGAAGCAAAACGTATCCATATCGATGGACTCGCCCCAGAAATCATCCCCGGCTCTCCAGAAGATATTAGAATCCCAGTACCTCCTTCAACTGGCCCCTCGGCTATTCCTTCGGGTGTTCAAAGTCCTTTCCCTGGAATTGGTACGCCGGCTTTGGGGGCAAGTGGAGTGGCTACACCTGTTGGTGGTGGAGAGAAGATTCTCGGGGAGAATAGTAGTAGTATTGGGGCCGAGAAGGGTAGGCTGGTAGGAACGGGAATTAATCCTTTGGCGCAGGATTAGATATGTTAGGGTGGATGGATGGATAGATGGATGAATGAGTAATATTGCTTGTTTTTTTGAGATAAATTATGGATAGGATTGATTGTGAAGTGTTAGAATGGAATGGGAATATGAATATGTACGTGAACTTGAGTGTGGACTTGAGTGTGGGCTTGAATGTGGACTTGAACTTGAACTTGAATTATTTATATGGAAAGAGTCGAACTTGTCATATTCATTATAAGTCTAATACCCTACTTTCCGGCCACCCCTCTTTCTGGACATCTTTTTATATCAAAAATCATTATTTTCATCTATTAATATTTCAATAATCAATTAATTAAATCGATTGAAATTTGAATTGTAGATTTATTATATTATTATCAATCAATCTTGAAAATTCTAGATTTTTCATTATTGATTTGATTGAAAATTAAAAGATTAAATTTTTAATTTTCAATTTGTATACGATTTATATATAAAATTGAAAAATTATTAAAAATAAATTATAAATTCTTTTGGAATATTTATATTATAATTAATCAAATAGATTAATTTATTTTAAAAAATATTTTACAGAAATCTTTTTAATTAAAATGTTATGATTTTTAATCCTTATAAAATCTAAAAATATTAATAAATATTCATTTATATTAATTAAAATTTAAAATATTAATTTTTTATATTATATTGAATTTAAAAATCTTAAAAAAATTTATAGTTTACTTTCAATAATTTTTTGTTGAAAAGTTATTCAAGATTTTTAATATTTTCAAATTTGTATATAAATGTTACAAATCATCTACATTTAAGATTATAGTGGTATTGTAAATGTCGGTGATTTAACCGTCGATTATAAAAGAGCTCTTTATCGTTTTGATTAGAAATCTAGGATTCCTAGAATTAATGTTCTAAACAATTATAGTGTAATAGAACAAATGTTTTAATTCTACGAAATAAATTAGAATAAAGATTATTTTAGAATATTTATTCTAGAACAATTCCTCTAGGATATTAATTATTTTAAAGAAGGGATTATTCTAAGATGATTATAATAGAAAAGGATTATTAGAATTAGTTTACTAAAATAAGGAATTATATAATGAAGTTTTTAGAAATATAGGTTTCTTTAAATTCTTTAAAGTTTTCAGAAATATAAGCTTCTTAAAGCTTTCAAAAGAACCTAGTATATAATCAAAATAGTTTTATAATTTAGAAACTTCGTATTTAACTTAATTATCAATTAGTTTATTTATATTCCAATTGATCTAGTAACAAATTCATTTTCAAGTAGATAATCAATGATTATTAACCTTAACTTATAATTACCAATCATACAAAATCTCAGGCAATCGCTGCCTCGATCAGATCGTTACAATAAATCTAATACAAATTGAAAATCGTAATTTCAACTTTCAATTTTTTAATCAATAAAATCGTCAAAAATTCGAAATTTTCAAAATCTACTAATAATTATATAATATATATGTCATTCAAATTTCATTAAATCTTAATGATTAATTGTAAAGTTATTAATAGTTGAAAATGATGATTTTTGTTATAAAAAGGTATCCGGAAAGAGGGGTGGTCGGAAAGTAGAGTATTAGACTTATCACATCGTCTCTCGATACTAAAATTATAGTTACTTTGCTCGAAAGGACGAGATCAGGATACTAACAAGGCTGGACCTGATAGACAACTTGTCAAAAGACTCTTTTCTTAATATAAATCTATTTAATATTCAATATCTGATATTTACTCTATTAATCTATATTTATTACACTGTTTTAAGAATTTTCAAATTAAAAAATCCGTTGTTCAATTTCATTCTAAAATTAAAAATAATTAATATATAAAGTTAAAATTATCTTTCAATTGAAGTTCTTTTGTAATTATTTTAAAGATTTCAAGAAATTTTTTTTTTAGATATTTTATAAATTAAAGAAGTGATATATTATATAAAATTGATGAATTTTTCAATTTTGATTTTTTGAAATTCTTGAATTCAATCAAGATTAAAGTTTTTGGGAATTTAAAGAGTTTATAATTTAAAATTCTTTTTAAATAAAAATATTAATATTATAATTAAAAATAAAATTTAATTTCTTTAATATTATTATTAAATCTTTTTGAATTATTTAATTAATCAATTGATATTTATTATTAGATATTTTAAAATTTTTAAAAATCTTTATATTTAAATGTTTTTGATTTATTTATAGTTTTGTTCGATTGTAAGATTATTATTATAGACTTGTTGGTGCAGAGTGTATATATTAAAGTAACAGCTTTAATCATGGTAAGGGCACCGCCACCAGATTTATAATATAATGATTTGAGATGTTGACTGAATAATGAAGATAATGATAAGAGCTCAGGAATTCGCAACTTTACATGGAATGGAGTACGAATCAGAGATAGGAAAAAGTGATTTCTCATTAACTTTAATCGACAAATGTGATTAGATTATACAAAACTTGTTATCGATGTCAATACTAGTTGTAGAGTTAGCTTCATAAATGATATGCCACCCCGTATGACTCTCTTTTACGTCGCACCAGTTGTGAGGGAACCATGGCCCCCTAGATTTGGTGATCTCGTAGACATAGATCCTGAATTAAACAGTCAACTAATCCTGCCATTTAATTAGTGATACCTCTACAACATTTTATTTTATGGATGTGATTCCAGAGCCATTAACCGCTGGTGGAACACCTGCCGTTGAGCGGGGGGACCGAATTCAGCATATTTTTCATTGCATATACTTATCACGCCGCGGGGCCTTTTGTCGAAGTATAACCCACCTTTCATTCGAGAAGAGATTCTTTCCTAATTTGCTATTGTGGATCCCTAGAGCAAATCCTTGAAGAGATAGAGGAGAATATTGTCATATAAAATGCCAATTTAGATCAGATGCTTCGATCACTAGACTTCTGGGTCCAGAGTAGATTCATGGAACTAGCGGAATTTTCTCGAGAGCTAAATTGAGGCTCAGAATCTTCAAGCTCTGTGGGTTCTGCGCATACGTACTACTAAGATGCGGGTTAATCTTCCTCACGGCTGGTTGCTATATCATCATCAGATGGTATAGAGAGTATCTAGACGAGGTGCTCGTATACAGGATACACCCTGTCTTTCAAGCTAGCGTAAGCAGATAGTTGACCTCTCAGACCGGTGGAAGCGGAAAATATTCCCCTCAGGCTGATACGGGCGGACAATATGACCTCACGGCGGGCACAGCCAGACCAGTGTAGTCCCAACCGAACCAACGTATCAAGAGCAAATATCTGCTCATCGATCGTGAGACTCCTGCTGGGAAGGCACTTCTTATAACCGGTCCCGAGGCATGGCTCTGCAGGACGTAGTTCTCACAGTCCACTCATCATTCTAGATCTGGCTCTAATCACCCTTCAGGTCAGTCTTCTCCAACTCGCCCCTTTGAAGTGGCTGGCTCTGCTTCACGCCGCGCTTCAGGCCATTCTCCATCAAACCACAACGATCGTCCCTATTATCGCGACTAGATAAAAATGTATTTAAATAAGAGCTGCACGACCAAGAACATACATAGTGAATACATGTTGCCTTTATATTTATTTTCTGATTTTTATATTGATGCAATGTGAAAGTGTAAAATACTAGGCATTATTGAGACTTGATAGTGGGTGAGTTTAGATTTAGCGGTAAGGTTCTCGCTTAGCTTCTTGGTCAGGCTTTTGGAGTACTTAAGCCAGAATATGCAAGGTAAAATTGGGAATATTGATACCCTCTTGGGTAGGAGACGCGAAATGTAGTTTAGAAGAAGTGTGTACCGTTGTTAAACTCTTTCTAGATGATTTCGGAACATAATCTTGCCTCATCTTTTTTAAATTGGAAACAAACACCTCCTTTCATCTTTTGGGTTTTTGCGATAATCGATTCCCTTGCTTTTAGTGGTTGAATTTCTACCTTGCTTGCTTACTTTAGAAATACATGACATGATAGCTGCACCAACTTTCATTTGCCCAGTTGTTTGGACAAGTGGTAGTGTGGTACTTGAATCAGCGATGAGTGCATGCAGTCCATGTTTCCGTTTCCTATTGGCTTTGTAAATGGCGAAAATTTGAGTATCCACTGTCAGCATGATTTGATTGGCGGCTTGTGTTGCATATCCGTCGTCAACATGTCCTTATTAACTTATGGACATGGGAAGGTTTTTTCCTCTTTCTTGAATCAAGTTTCCATCTTAAAATCGTATTGCAAGGCAGAAATTCTCGGCGTTGTCGCGAGTGGTATCGCAGTTGCCCAAGTAGCGAGTGCAATCGTTGAGAGTATTCGGAAGATATATTCTCTAACTTCGGAAATAAAGGATCCGCCCAAGAAATTGAGCGATTTATTGGTAGAAATTGAGTTGCTTGGAGAAATACTGGTTGACTATGGTGATCAGAGTCACACAGGAATCACAGGTCAATCCAGCGCATTTCAAAAGATTCTGAAGCATTTTAAAACAGCAATGAAAGACTTAGATGAGTTATTGAAAGTTTTGGAGAATAATCTGAGCAAGGATGGTGGAAAGGCCAAAAAGCAATGGCGAGCGTTGAAGATAGTTCTCAAGGGTAAAGTCCTGGAAGAGCTGGTGGAGAGGCTCGAACGGGCAAAATTACTCTTGACACTGGCTTAAAATTGCCAGAGCATGTAAGTTGATTCTGCTTTAACCTCCAAACTACGTGGCTCTCCAAGTAATAGATATTGAACAGAGCGATGCAACAGGCGTGATCATAACAGGTTGCAGCTGCCCGGCCACGCGCAGAACTATGTAGATGGTTGATTGCTCAAGGAGTTCAGGCTACCGAATGTGACGCGCGGCGTGGATAGTATACTACATGACTAGCTTATCATTTGATTAATCTGGACTAATGCTTCTCTAGCAATGCGTTACATATGGCGGCTTTCGTTACCGATGGCTTCTCCATCCGAGCTTACAACTTCACTACTTTGCCGCAACTTCGGTCTTTTGATAAGGAGCCCAACTACATCAATGTCCTTAACACTCTTCGAATTCTCGTAGAAGTTGGAAAATGTGATCCAATGCAACGCGCAATCTATGGACAAACACCCTTGGATTTGTACCATAGTGGAGCGAGCCTTACACTTATATGCTCAATCAAGAATTCCTTGTCTCGGTTGATCCGCAAGGACCCGGTGATGGGCATGTGTTGGAAGACCATATAATTTACAGATCCCATGTTTCAGAAACAATTGTTAAATACATGATGGAAAAAATCATTAAATTCTCAGAGTCTCGACGTTTGAAGGACGGCTTTCCTAGTTGGCCGGGTGCCCTGTATTATTTGTTATTTTTATTAGCAGATAATCTACGTGATCGTCGAGGCACCCACACATCTACCGCAACCATTTCGTTCATTTCTGCTCTTCTAGAAATGAGAGTTGATATCCATCTCAAAAACGAATTGCTTGGGTCACCATTGTCGCGGATAGTTCAATCGGATGTTTTGGAGAATCTGCCTTTACTGATCATTACATGGTTTGAATTACTAAGGAAATTTGATTACGATCTACAAGACTACATTCTTAAAGAATGGGAATATTACCAGCGTTGTATAATTGACCCGCTCCGGGATCGAGGTTTCTGGTATATGCACATTTTTCATGCCCGCAAAACTGCAAATATTATTTGCAAATTCGAGTGTTACGACTACTGCCATCACTATAGGAACATGTTTTCACAAACTCGACAAAACCGGATGCCTGGAGCTTGGGAAGATGACGTGGACGGTGGAGGGTGGTCTGACCATGTGCACAAGTTTTTACATGACGAGGTTACCGTGTCCAAAATACGGAGGCCTCGCAGATCACCAGACTTTGAAATGTAAGTAAAAATCTAAAGCCTTTCAAGCGCCAAACCAAAAGGATTGCTCCCGCCACAAAAGCTAATTCGAAATATGGAGGTCATTTGAGATCGGTCCATTAATAGATGGCGAACAAAATTTCAGTCATAAAGGCTCTCTCTTGCGTCGAATGTTAAGTTGTTATTGTGAATTCTTTATGGGGTGGGTGTTCTCATGAGCCTCCTTTCGGCAAATATAGTGCTGAGACTGGTGAAATGGATTCGTGTGAACATTTGGAAGGAGAAAGCGATGGCGAATGTGAGGGTGGTTGTGGGGATGATGGTAATAATTCTGGGGAAGGACAGAAAGACGGAGATGTCCAATAGGGTGACTCCAAGAGCAAATTTGGGAGTGATTATTACTACTGTGGACATTGTGGAAGGAGCTATTAGGATTTCACTGTGGTGGTTTAAGGATGGTAACTCTATTGATTTGAAATTAGTCGGCTTTGGATAGCCAATGTGCGTTTCAAGCCCTGAGATGCAGCTAGCCTGCTATATAGTGGTGGAAGGTAAACATGATTTTGATGCCGCCGTTTCAATGCCTTTCTATTTTTGAAGGATGTCCAAAATGCAGATGGAAGTGATGGCTGCATCCGGTCATTTGTGAGCCGATTTAGAGCACTGCGCTTGGCCATTGGATGCAAGAAATTTAGCGAAAGTTGTGATGATAAGGTTGTGCCATTTCTATCTTCCTTGTATACCGCCGTCGAGTTGTCGGCATTGCCTACCTAATGATTTAATGGTCTATATGATATATGCACCATTGACTCGACACTGAGTTATGTCTAATGATCGACAGCACCTTCAAAGTATCTGCCTATCAAATACTCTGACAAGTGGTACTTCCTAACAATCTAAATCATTTGGCGTAAGCCACAGTATGAGCAGATATGCAACAATACATTGATCTCCACCTAAAAATCGGTAGAGATGTAATGATTTGATACAGCTTTGTGGCGATACCCCAGTATTTCTTAATCCTCGTCTATTCTTTTCAATGTGCCAAGAAGACTGAAACTACTCCCACTGCATCTCAACCCAATGAATTCAATCACCTGTAATATTACCGCCATCAAAGTCGAAGAAAAGGCTAAAACGCATCTAAATCAATACTATTTCATTGTGCATGAAGCTTAGATATGCAACAAATACACTGAACCAAAGTCTAGAACATCAGTAAAGGTATAGTGTTTCTTGGATATCTTATTATTATCTAGCCCTGACTATCTTTTTCACGTGCCAGCCAGGATTTTCAGTACCGACACCTTTCAACCGACTAATTCCCGTCAACTTTTTTAAGAATATCTTAGAGATAAGCCAAAATGTATCTTAACCCATAAATATGTCATTGTGCATAGAGTTTAGATGTGCAACAAACGTATTTCGTTATTTTATGAACTTTTATTGGGGGAATATTGATAATTAGCGGAGTGACCAAGCATATTCTAAAAAAACTAGATCTTCTACGGCTACCTGGACTTTCTTCATGTTTCCCTGACAGGCTTTCAAAAAAAGACTAAAAACACATCTCAACAACCAAGTATGTCATTGTGCGTCAACCTCAGATGTGCAACAAACACATCCTGTATTTTTTCATAACTACTATTGGAGGAATGTTATGATGAGTATGGTGGAGTAATGGAGCCTAAAAACGCGTTGAAACAGCTAACTATTTCATCCTGCATGAACTTCAGATGTGCAACAAATGTATTTTGCATTTCGAAAGATATTATTGGAGACATGCAAGAAGATAGTGTGATGATCAACCATTTACTCACCTTTTAGAGATAGTTCTCACAGCCAAAGTACCTATTCCCCTTGAGCCAGCTTAGCTAACTCGACATAATTTCAACTTTACTTTAGATCTCTAGCCCTTTTGCCAAATTTTTTGCTGTTGTGCGGAAAGAGTACATACTTAAGATCCGAGGATAGAAATGATGTTCACAAAAGCCCAGTAATTCTATCTGGTACATGCTACTCTCGGCAACCCTGTTTGTATTGCCAGGAATTATATGGCATTCTGCTGGAGTACTCAAAGTATATTCCACAAAATAGTAAACTGCAAGAGGAATTGTTGTTTTTACGAAAGTAGAGAGTGGCGTACTTTCTAGCCGCACGAATATAGTTCGCCCTTCATCTTACCTCCGAGAGCTTCCTAATCTTTCTACATGTGAAATGTTAATCAAGACGTGCTTCCCACTCACAATTTCCCCAAATTTCCTCTCAAATTTTGGTGGATTCACGTTTTTACCTCTCAAAATTTGGAGGGTGCAAGGTGTTAAATGGGTAGAGCTAGTAGGCCTACAATTATCCCAAGTATCGCTAAATCTTATAGATCTAATAGATCTAGTGAGCTTAGAATCAAGACTTGAGTAGCTATAATATAAGAATATCAAGATCAGGATTGGGCATTTGTACCCTATCCAGAATATTTGACCTTTACAAAATGGTATCCTACCCTGTAAAGATTTTACAGGATGGTTATCCGGAAATATCGATAAATGCCAAATTACCACAAAATAAATATTATATGATTATTTAATATTATTATCCAAAGTTGAAATTATTATTATACATAATCTATAAACCGAATTTCATATTATATAATATCCATTATATAATATTTGATTATAGACTATAAATATTAATAGAATTAATATAAAATTTACTATATATATAATCATATATACTATACACCTACAATACCCACAACATTTTATAAAGTAATCACCCTACCCTAAAAAGCTTCAACGGGCTGGTTTTTAGGCCGGGTTTACCCCAGATTACCCCGGATATACCCTACCCTTTGCCCAGCCCTGATCAAGATCATTGAAGACCATTCAAGACATGACACACTAACCAATAGTTTCTGCGTTCTCACCCATTATTTTGTTGCATATCTCCGGGAAATTGTTTATTTAAAAACCAGAACCACCCCATCAAAACCATAGAGATTAATGATCTCAAACTAGCCCCTAGATCCTCCTTCTTAGTACATCCCAGTCATTCTCTAACAACTACCTAGATACATACTAAGACAATTCCGTACATAGTGTAGAGCTTCCATGGATTTTAAACTATATTACCCCCAGAATTCATCCTTTTTTGCACATCTCCGAAAAATTATCAAGCTAGAGACTGGAACGATACCATTTGTAGTGTAGAACCCAGGACGCTGAATTATATCCTATAAGTTTCTCTGTTTTGTTGCATATCTATCTTCCCGAGAATCCGAACGACCATTGTCATTGCATTATCAAGAACTTTGTAGATTATCCTCACAGACTTTGAAATCACCACAATGGCCCGTTCAAAAACAATGTGCTAAGAAAAGTTACCAAATCTTTGTCTATACTCCCTCAAATTTATTCCTTATTCTTTGGCTGGACCTTTTCCTTCACTGTCATTTTTTAGGAAATTCTTGAGTCCTTTGGGACCGTATACTATTCTAGTATATGCTTTTGAAGAAGCCCTCTCAGCAAGATATATTATTCAATATTGACTTGAAGAGTTTATACTCATTGTTCAATATGCATTCGCAGGATCTAGATAATTTCACAATTAAGAAAAGTTTACGGATAGGGTACAGCGAGAATGAAATATGACACCGCGATCAAATTCCATCCATCTCAAATAATGTCCCCGAAGTCCTTCCCATTTTCGCCCATGTCCGGACCTTTAATAAATTCTACAAAATCTTTCTTAATCCCCTCAGTTATTTCCAATGATGACTCTGTCTTTCTAGTATACGAGTCATGCGTATTGCCAAGTACTGAAGTACCAAAATTTGAAATAACTACCCGCCAAATATTTGGAAATCTCAAAGTTTATCCCTTCCAAATTTTCATTTGTTGCATGCCGCTGGAAGATTCGAAGTTCCCCTAGTTCCTTGACATCATCTGCCTTTTTAGTGCACTCCGAGAAAAGCGAGTAGTTTTAAAAGGTAAGAGTGTAGATTAAAGAATAGAACTAATAGGGTATTTATATCCAAATCAGTACTAGATCTAAACTAAACTAGTGTATATATAATCTGATAAAATTATTCTTGTTACAACTTTGGGTATATATCAATTGTGTTTTGCAATTATATTTAAACATCTCTGAAGCGATCATATTGATTCCGAGACAAGTTTGATAAGTTGGTACCTTTGATCTTTCAAAGCAATTCTTTGTATTCAATAATAAACAATACAATATATATATCTTTACAAACTATTTTTATTTAAATTATCTAATAACCTTCCTTTTTAGTTTTTAATTTTTCAATTCCCAAAATACTATAATTATATTATAGATTCTAAAATAAGAATTCAATCAATTTGTAAGAGATTCTATATTTTTCGATTTGATAATTATTGTATAGATCTTTTACCTCAGAAATTCGATATATTGTTATCAATAAATATCCTGAGAAGCTTTTTGTATATATATTTTGAAATATCAGTAAATTGTATTCCTCTTTGGTAATCAAGTATCCCTTTCATAGATGAAATAGTTTTAAATGATCATTATAATATATTCTCAGAATCGGAATCCTATCGATCTATTTAATAATATATGAATATTTATAATCCTTATCAAATCCAATAATAACAAACAAATCATATTAATTAATTTTTAATTTTTGTTTAGCAATCTTGAAATTATAAAGTATAACAAATTGTTTTAATATAAAGGATCTATAATATATTTTCTAATTATATTATTCTTTATTTTTTTTCTATTATGTATCTAAATATTTGTTAATATTTTGTAAAATATATTTTCGATTAACAATAAATGAGATAACTATTTCAATATCGAGAATTTTATTGTTATTAAAACAAATATTAACAAATATAAATACAATTATATTTTCTCGATAATGATTTAGAAATTTGTAATTAAGTTTCTCTATCAATTGAAATCCGAAAAAGATTTTATACAATGAATAATCTAGATACAAAATATTTTGACAATTAATTTCAAGTATTGTTTTTGTAATCAAAAATCCTTATATTCTATAAAGATTATCTAAAGATTTATTTAGGATATTTTAAATGATTCGAATAGTTTATTCAATTATATCTATAATCTTTTTAATTATAATTAATGATATCATTTATAAAGTATTATATTTTTTAATATAAATTTTAATTATAATTCCAAAATAAGGATTCAAATCTATATAGAATCCAATTGATATTCCAAAATATATAAATAGATATACTAGATATTGAATAATTTCTGTATTTATATTAGAAATGTATAGAAATATTTATATATATTATAAAAAATAATCAATAATAAACAAAATATATTTATACAGAATCTTATTAATTTTAATAAATGAAAATGGGCTAATAAAATCAGTTTTTAAACAATCTATAAATACTTCAATTGTAACTTTCGATAATATTTAAAATCGAATTGTAGATTCAAACTTTGTATATCGAAGATATCCGAGGCAATAATCTATGATATCTTTTGTTATAATTGATCAATATATATTATATAATTTCCAAATAAGTATTTGAAAGATGAAATAATCTGATAAATTATAAGTTTTATATAATATTAAAGCAACTTCCGTTTCTGGTATACAATATTTCCAGATATTTTTGAAGATATAATATAAAACTTTTTCATTT